CCTACCGTCCGGCCCTGGGCGGGAGAAGTCATTTGATGATGTTCACCTCACAAAAAAAACCTGTAGTTCACTGTTAGAGAATGCCTTAAGGTATAAAGTCCGCCATTCTGTTGTGTGCAGAAGAATAAGTAAATGCTAGAACTTGTCGTCTAAAAATCATAGAATTGTAAAAAAACTTCACTGTAGAGACGTTTTACCTACCTCCACTTTTAACTACGCTATTAGTTTACAATAAGTCGAAAAACTTTTTTTATGTATATAAAAAAGCAGAAATTTCTATTTTTCCTCGCAACACTATCAAATAAAGAAAGTAATAAAATATAAGAAAATAGTTCTTAACTCCAATAACGATTGTCACAGATGTTCATAAATACTAGAAACGCGATATACTGTGTAACAGTAAAGCTTTGCTCATATTGGCGACAACGTTACTATATTATAGCTTGCTTAAAGACGAAATAAATGTTTTTTTTTCCTTAAGTTCCTAGTTTATATTTTTATACATCAAAATATGCGGTGGCTGGGCAACTGGCTGCCGCGAAACGTGTTGCGAGTTTGTATCACGCACGGAACAACTCTTTTTGTAATCCATAAAATGTTGTTCCCGGTCTGGGTGTGATGTGTATGAGAAATTGTATATTTGAAAATGTACCCACGACACAAGAGAAGCTGGGTTTACCTCTTTGTTCTATATTAACTAATATTCGAATTATTTTTTTTGAGTCGTAAATGATAACGTGATAAATATCTATTTACCTATTACATACATTAACAATATTTTATATTTATTTTAATAAGCCGTGATTGACACGTTACAATTCGGGAATTCAGAAAATATTTGAATTCTGCGAATTCTTAAAAAATAATTGAATATAACAAAAAAAAATAATTATGTACTGATATTTACAGTTGTCACAATAATATTCTGTTTCTTGCAAATACATAATATTATGTACACAATCCTTTAGACGCAAATAATTCTATATCTATTATATAACCACATATCAAAAAAACACAGTTAGCAACAGTATTTACTAGAAGCCAAAACTCGAATGTTTTACTAGAAGTTTTATTAATATTTTGCTAATACATTGGCGTCATAACATTTTGTTATTGCGCACGAGTTCATTGTCCAACGCAGTATTAAATAATAATACAACATTATGAGATAAGTATTTGTTAGTCCTTGATATCAAATAAATAATGATAACTAGTTTTGTTTTGATACTACAAGACATAAGTAGACAATGGCTCGTCAAACTATACCTACCTTAACGACATAGATTTTCAATCTTATAAGTTTGTAATAATGCTCAAATTTGGTTGAAAGAACTTATTAGTGAAGGGTACCTCGATGTGCTTGCGTCTGTACCACAAGATAATACTTTGCTATTTTCCTAGATACGCGAAACTTATTACGCGTTATTGAAGTATTTCTAGTTCTAAGTAAAGAAATATTGAGATTGTTACCTACATACTTGAATATATCTATTAATACCAGGTTTACCAAGTAGCTTTTATTTACATAGGTAGATATGCCTTTGTTCGTGCGAATAAACATTAAAATAAAAAAATCATAAATAACCTACAACATTCTGTGATCAATAAGAATATGTTACCAAATAGTGTATACTCAATTATTAACCTTGCTCAAAGTGGGTTGGTGATTACAAACTTATAATTAGAAATTATAAAACCAATCCTTATAATGTTTTCCTTCACCGTTTGTCAGTATCCAATTTAATAACTAAATAACTCGGAAATGTGACATTGGTACCCATATTTTTACTCCAGAATTAAAAGCTTGACCTCCAGACATCCACGACACTTACCCAGTATTATTATCACTGTCCATTTTAGGAGTCTTTTTACATAGAAGCGCAAATAGTGAGGCGCGTCGCACATTCGTCGTACGTTGCGTGCTTTATACGCCAGCGGACCGCGTCATCGCCTGTACAAAGATAAAATTATCAACAGTGTACGACAAACGCACGCTGTTCCGCATAACGCGCATCATCTCCGTATATGAGGTCTATTTTAGCGATCCGTAGTAAACTAGGAACTCTTATAATTTCGCCATGTCTGCCCGTCTGTCTGTCTGTTCGCTGATAATCTCAGTGACCGTTAGCAGAAGGCTGAAATTTGGGTACCAATTACGCTGACGAAGTGGTATTATACCACATAAAAAGGGGACAAAATATTTCACTAGGGTAATTTCTCTCGCCCAAGTTACGGTGAGCCAGATTCTTACTAACTAAAAACATCCTGTTCCTTCTTTTCCTGCTCTAGGCCAAAGTCGTGGTACCATATTGCGCTTGACCCCCAACCCTGGGACATCGGCCGTGTTTTGGGTCCCATCTGAGGTGGTCTATTTGGCTATTTGAGACGCGCGCAGAACGCTACGCACCGTACGTCAGGGTCTGGTTCTGATCGAGCAGCAAGCTACCCTTGCTCACCGACGGCAGATCCGCGCTTACGGTGGTCCTTAAATGAGGCCTTAGAGCAAAATGACACGTATTTTTTATGTTGTAAAAAAATCATCATTTCCCGCTCTGTGTCGGACTAGAAGGGGTCAGATGACTCTTACTGACTAAAACAAGTCCGTTCCTTCTTCTGCTTTAACCCGGGACTGCCATGTTTTTTTTTGGTGAACAGAAAATCATCAAATGGCTTCTCCCGCCCAGGGTGGGGCGGGAGTTAGTGCTTGACTCCCACTGACTAAAGACTCTCTCCCCTCGTTTCTATTGATCTGGGCCCAGACCGCGGTGCCTTATTGCGCTTACCCCGCAACCCCGGCTGAACATCAGCCCTATAGGACCCCGTCTGTGGTGGTCTATTGGCTCATTTAGGCGTGCGCAGAACGCTACGCGCCGTACGCTCGAGTTTGATTCTGGTCAGGTTGCGAGTTACCCTTACTCGCCGACCGACCGACCATGGTATATTATCGCGCTTGCACTCATAACCCTGCAAATGATATCCATGCACTAAAAACGTGCTTACAGTTAGACTAATCGTGCAATCAGTTAAACATTTATATGACCCACTTATGTATATTGTTGTCATCTTCAATCTCCGAAATAGGTTAGGTGGAAACGAAAACTCTTATCATTTTAAACGAATGATTTCATAACCTACTTTATTTTATCTATCTGTTAGTATTATTACGTGTGAAACAATATTATGCATTGCATATTTATTTATATTAGAATAATTGGGGGTCTTGAATAAGGGAGTTTGGTGACAGGTTCGTTTACTTAGAGAGTCTAGACGCGTGTAATTAATAACATATCTATTTACATTTCACTTAAAGATGTTTAAGGATTTAATATATTACCGACCAATTATACCTAAAACGAATAAAATAATTTTTAACAAAAAAACTGACTTCAAAAAGTAAACTATAAAGCAAAAAATAAATTTTCTGTATACAAAGGAATATATATCTTCTTTTAGGTAAAAATAAAATAATTTTAATAACTATTTTTATAATATCGAAGTCGGTGCCAAGTAAATGCTACATACCAATTAACAACAGTATTAGAAACATGTATTGATCGGTATCATCATTATTTTACTTGGCACCTGGCACTTACTTGGCACCGACCGAGAACAAACCTTTGCCTTATTTCTATTTGAAACCCACAAGGCAAGTCCAATACTTATTTTGATAGAATCAAATAATAACTATAACATGTTAATTAATGTGTGTACTTGACTTAGATTTGGTAAGATAAAGTGTCCCTTTTATGCCCTAGACTGGCTGATAAGCCGTTCCGGTTGATATCTTAATCCTAATATTTCATTACTTTATAAAAACATTAAGGAGGTTATTCGGAATTTTTTTGAGGATAAGGTGGCAGACGAGCCCACAGATGGACATTGTAACATCAAAGAAGTGTTTGGGCTTCGGCACAAATGAGCCGACCCATTCGTGCCGGCCAGATAGAAAACCGGCGTAAAACAACCACAGCGTTGTGTTTCGCCGTGTGAGTGAGGTTACTGGAAGCCCAATCTTTCCTCGCCCCCAATCCCTCTACAATCCCTAAATCTCCAAATCCCTTATTCCCAAAAGATCGGCAACGCGCTCGTAACTCCTCCGTTGTTACGGATATCTACGGGCGGTGCTGGTTGCTTTCCATCAGATAATGGCTCGTTTGCCGAACTATTACATAAAAAAACAATCACCGGTAATCTCACTCACCCGATCATAATTATAGAAGGTAATCGTTCTTTGATGCCGATTTCCTAGGAGGCCGTGGTATTACTGTTGTCGCGTCCGCCGATACGTGTCAAAATAAGAAAAAAAAATTAGAATAAAACTTCTTTTGTTTTTTTTATAAACTTTGACTTCAAAAAGTTTATATTAATATAGCATTATAATATTATAAGTATAGACAGATAGGTAGTCTACAGAAATACATAAGGGACTATAGTCCTTTACAGAACAGAGGATTGACAGTGAAAGATTACTGATAATACCATTCTTTAGGTTATAGGTTATCATAGGACCACTATAGGGGGTGTCTCTCTTGTGCTACTTGACTGCATATGCCAAATGGCTTAAAAGACAGTTGTCAAGAAAAAAAAATTGTCCAACTGTGTTATAACGGTTTCCTTTTTCAATTTTGAAATGCTTAAATAACCAAACGGCCTCTCTCCACCTGGGCGAGGAGGCATTTATTTTGTTAATTTTCCACATTAACAAAAACAAATCAATCGTATAGTTCAATGTCGTGGTGGCCCGCTTCTCATGTATGAGGGTGTGGGTTCGAAACCTGGCAAGTACCAATGTGACTTTTCCGAGTTATATGTACTTTCTATGATTATTTAGACACCACTGACTTATGTCAGTGAAAAATTATACGTCTCACGTCTCACGATGTTTACCTTCACCATAAGGTGAAGGTAAACATCGTGAGGAAACCTGGACGTATAATTTCTAATTATAAGTTTGAAATCGCCAACCCGCATTGAGCAAGCGTGGTGATTAATGCTCTTACCTTCTCCGTATGAGAAGAGGCCTTTGCTCAGCAGTGGGCACTTATAGGCTGTGACGAAAATGATGTATAGTTCAAATAAAGTTCGATACTTCCTTAGAAGTGATTCATTCGTTTTCTATTAATTTACTCGAGTATGTAGCGTGTCAATGACTTGTTGTATCTAGATGTGAAGTGTATGTCATTAGCTATACCTATGTACCATGTTTGTTTTGTTTATCGGTGATAAAGATTTTCCGTAATTGATAGCTACTTATTAGTTTGGGAGAGCTATGCTTCGGCCCGAATAGGACTCGACCGGAATGATACCACGGCCTCACAGAAGACTGGAGTGGAGTGGAATACTTACGTTGTGTTTGACTGTGTGACTTAGGTTACCGGATACCCAAATATTCCCCCCCCCCCCCTCTGTCCACTAATAACCCACAAGAAGTCGGCAACGCAATTGTAGTAACTCCTTTAGTATTAAGAGTGTCAATAGGCGGCGCTGATTGCTGGCCGAGGATTTGGTATTTCAGTTCTTATTATAAACGTGAATAAAAAAGAGAGGAATTGTTATATGTACTGTAATTTTTAAGACGGTCACCGAATAATCCGTTCTGGGCCTGATCAATAATAATTGGTACTTAGGTCAATCAATCAATCAATCAATCATCATTTATTCATTACATTTTGGGTAAATAATTATGATCACAGTATTAATGTTAGTACCACCAAAATCTGCCCTCACGGGCGTATGAAATATTGTTAACTTAGGTCAATAAAGATAGAATAACAAAATAAAAACGTCATAATATTGCATTCAAAATGTCAAAAATAATAAATGTCAAAAATAATTAAACTTATAAATATTTACAAATTACTATCATTAAGGAAGTCGTTTACATTATAATAACATTTCTTGGATAATATTGCTTTAAGTTTGTGTTTAAAAACACTAACATTGAATTTTTTTATGTTGTTAGGGATTTTATTATACAATTTTGGCGCCATACATAAAAGACTCTTTCCCATCAGACTCGTTACTGCTGTGTGAAGACACAGCTTATTATTGTTGCGCCTATTTCGCGGCACAATATCACACAGTCGTTGGAAAAGATGAGGATTTGTGTGCACAAACATTGCTACCTCAAGTATATACAGAGACGGAAGTGTAAGGATGCCATGCCTGATAAAGTGCGGCTTACAGCTGTCTGTCGGTTGAAGACCAAACATAGCTCGTATGCATCGTTTTTGTGCCTTAAAAGCAATATCATTATCTGTAGAGTTTCCCCAAAAAACTATTCCATATCGTAATCTAGACGCTGCAAGTCCATGGTAGGCAGTAAGCACAGCATCAGTATTAACTATCGGGGCTATTTTGTAGAGAGCGTAAGAGGTAATTTATTTTTCCCATTACATATATTACATAGCTTTATATACATATGTATATTACAGTTTTTTGTTACTGTAATGTTGTGTAGGCGTAATTAAATCAATTAGTTATCACTGGAATAAATGTTTGTGTGTTTAGAGGAATATAGGATACAATTTTATCAGTAATAGATATCTCAGTTCTATTGTACAAATATAATTACTGACCTGTCGTAGCCCAACTACAAAATAGATACAAGGATTTAGGTCATGAATAATCGACTGTCTATTGTGAATGAAATAAATGAACCCCAACAACTTTTTACAGGAAAGGATTGAACACAAAGCCACATAAAACCTATTCAGGTCTCAGTAAAGTCCCAGGACATCGTACACAAGAAATAACCAAATTCTAAGACCTTAAATGATAAATGAACCCTTCAATAGCTTTCGCAAAGAAACAAAAGGAATTATTATAAAAATATGTATTTGTACATTAAGGTGATTCCACTCAGCACACAATAGGCAAACACCACAACAATCACTGGTACTTACAATATAAACTTATATAAATTAATCTAATATCTATCACAGTCATAATACGGTGGATATTATTCTCTTCCTAGTTGTACCTTTCTCGCACTCTCGCGAACATTTCTGCACTGTCAACTTTGTTTGGTCCCTCGTTTTTGCCGAAGAATGTCATCCTGGTCGTCTTGACGAGCCCCTTGCTGTTCTCCGCGGACTTCCTCCAGTACACTGTCTGCACAGCATTCCTGCCGGCGATGTACCTGGTGGCGCTGCCGATGAGTTGCCTTTTGTCCATTTTCAAAGCAAAATATGTCCAACAGACAGAGTATGCAGCACAGCTTAGACGACGTTAGTCAACGTGGATTAGCACTTTTTGTAGCACAAATGTACGTGTTGATCAGATGATGTCTGATAGTTGTATGTTGGTGAGGATCGAAGCGAACGCTTTTATACGAGGAGGCACGTGCAAACTGTCTGACTGATAAACACAGCCCGGCTTGTTGTATGACGGAGTCCCACACTAGTGTGCGTGTAAACTTTGCACTTCGCGAACGCGTGCCGAAGTACATACACAGACACGTAGATTAGTTTTATTATTACTAGAACCACAGATCCAGTCATCAGTATAAACGATCCATGACATATAGATAAACGGCTTATCCATTGCCAAGTTAATGTTAATTGTTTGTTTTGAAATTTTAATTTACTCTTCAATGTATGTATGTGTACTTAAATGACGGATCTGAGTCACAATTTTATGCAGACGATTTTTTACGACGTACAATATGAAGTAATAAAAGCTTATTTGATCATTTCTGTTTGTTGAACGTGTCTGAAGACAAATAATAACTAATTAGATACCTTGATTGTTTTAATAACAGAAAATTAATGTCAATATTTAATGCATAAATTATTACGATTTCTCGAAAGTGTTTGTTCGTAGTCGTGATGTCTCACGTAAATCTAACACTAATCATGGCGACATAAGGTAGAATTTTCAATTCACGTTTTCATTGATCGGTAGTTTGTATATCGGATACAAATTTCAATCAATCAATGTTTATTTACAATCAAAGGACTTTGTACTGAAGAGAACACGTTTAAAAATAACTCGTTTATTATTGCCGTACCTAACTGGGAACAATTGGTATAATAAATATGCTATTAACACGAGACGATATTTTGATACGTTCATATCATTACTAAGAAATAAATAAAGAATACTTCCCGTCGAAGTATTAAATTGAACCTATTGGCAAAGAATTTTTAAACAATCTTTGCAGACATGACCTGTTAGTAATGATCAAAGGAAAAATTTACTGGAATTTGGTTTTACATACAAACTTAAGTATGTTTTGTTACAAAAACAAAGCAGACTATAGTTGGTTGAGGTAAGAAAGGTAAAATATAAATAAATTAGAAAAACATAAAGATGGAACGCTCACATTTGTAAGTGACTGAAATATTGGCAATGTTCCAGCATACAAAAAAAATCACCTATTAATCCTGTCCTAAAATCGTTCAGAAATATCACACTGTTTGAGAAAAACTAAAAAATCGTGCTGTAAAAATTTCTTATTGTAATATACTTTTATTTAAAACTAGCGGACCGCCCTGCCTCGCACGGGTAGGTATCCGACTACCCCGTCAGTCATTTGTTTTTTTAGCAAACGACCACAGCACCGAAAGGATTGGCAATTCCCGATATTCCCCTTCGCTTATCTAAAGTTTTCTTTCGTAAGAAACTTCATATAAAAATAACGAACATGACAATAAAGAATCAACAAAATTTGTCCAGTCATTATTGATTTATGCGCTTACCAACACATTTCGCGATTCATTTTTATATTATAGATAATCTCATTGTTTTCTTCCATTTGTCTAAATTAACCATATTATGTAAAGAAAGAATTTGACAAATTTTTATATATGTTTAAAGAATTTGACAAACACAAAATATATTATATAATTATAATATATTTATTTATTAAACCACTGCTATAGCTATGTACATACGTGTATGTTTGTACATTATCTAAAATGTTTGCAAACTGAGATTTATAAAGATAAACTTTTTAACAGACTCTGTTTGCTTTTGATGTAATTAAAACAGTTTCGTTAGTTAACTATTTTGTTGGTATTTAATGTGTGTTACTATGTTATGGATTAACAACGTGTTTAAAGTTAACAAACTAAATGTGTTTACATAGGTAATATTATGAATACATCAAGTGTGAGAGAGCCATGCTTCGGTTCGAGTGAACCAGCACAACAAGAATGATACCACGCCCTGAAAAAAAAAGATGTCATGGAACCACGCTTGCGTTGTTTTACGCCGTGAGTGAGGTTACTGGTAGCTCAATCCTCGTTTTTCCATAAAAATTACCAAATGACTCGCAACGCATTCCTAACTTATTTGGTGTTACGAGTGGCGATAAGCGACGCCAATCGCTTTCCATCAGGTGAAGAATCTACTCCGCGTATCCCTTCGAAAGGAATTATATGAATGAAGATCATATAGTTTAGTAGAACGTGCAATGTCCTTCAATCCAATTTTATTAAGTGTGGGGGAGCTATGCTTCAGCACAATAGAGTCGGCTCGACCGGAGTGATAACACTGCGTCACAGAATAGCGCAACCACAGCGTTATGTTTCGCCGTATGCGTAAGGTTACCAGAGGCCCAATTCTTCCCCAAAAGGTCGGCAACGCACTCGTAACTCCTCCGTTGTTGTAAGTGTACATGGGCGGCGCTGATTGCTTACCATCAGGTTATCCGTCTGCCAAGCGCGGATCCAGCCTTCAAAAAAGGTTGTGGTCACAGCTACTAGACGGCTAAGTACGAGTCGGAGCATGGACATGCTCATTAACAATCATGCAATTAGTTTATGAATTTATGTATTAGATTTCCTTTTTTCTTAGCATCAGGACTTTGGCCTTAGGAATGTAAATAAACTTAGGAAGAAGTCGGACCCGATTTCTTCTAATTTCTAATAGTCAGTTTCGATCCAAACCTATTTCAATCACAAGTGTATTAAGGTTGTGGGCATGCCCATCGTGCCCACAACGGTGGATTCGCCCTTGCAGTCTGCTCGTTTGCCATCCATTCGGTTAAAAAAAGACCAGAAACCTCTGATGTAACATAAAAATTAAGTTACGTAATTTATTTATCACATGTCAGAGGTCTTACCACATAGAACCATACGCTTATCATCATAGTCGTAGTAAAACTCAATTTATAGTAGGTACTGATAACAGTCTGTTATCGTGTTTTGTTTTCATTTTCTATTTGTTTTTTGCGCACTTACCTATGAACAAATAAAGGTTATTTTGCACTATTTTTAATAGATTTTTTTTGTTATTAATTACTTTGTTTTGTTATGTTGTTTCGAGAACATGCTTGGAATGTTTCTATGTTGAGCATTTATTTATTACATAAATGAGTGCATCTTTCCTTTGATAAAACAGAAGAGTATTTTTTTGTTTATAGGGGTATAGAAGACAAAGAAAATCTTTGTAAACGAATACAGGAATTCCCAAATCCTAGTCTAAAAGATGAGAACAAACTTTTATTGTAACTATTTGGGAATGCCTTTAGGTGGCGGCGATTCGTGTGCTCACTTCCCTAGATCATAAAAAAATAGGGACGAAATGTTTTGGTAGCAATCTTACTGTACTGCCAACATATCATGGCGAGTCTGAATTTAGCCGATTAGCTGCGCAGTATACAATTTTGATCCTAAAAGATCCATTGCGTAAAGAAACGGCTAACTTCAGACTCGCCAAGAACGTCGGCCGTACTGTACCTCTTACTAAGACAATATTACGAATAGTAAAAAAAATTTTACAAAATAAAAAAACCGCCTTCAAAAAAAGTCAAGCAATAAAAGTTCCTACACTAAAAAGTAAAAAATAACAATTTGAATTACTGTAAAAAATCTTAATTTATAGGTAAACTTATTTGACATTAATATTTTGCAAATATTCAAAATTTATTACTTATTTTTGGAGTCGGTGCCAGCATTTTGATGTTGAAACTTAATGTTAGTTAGGTTTTTAATATCCGGTGCCATTTTTCGTACATAATGCTTAAACATTTTCAATGTACTTAAAATGTTTTTGTAAGTACATATTTTTTATTTAATAAAATGTGCAAATCGGACATTTTTTGTAGAGAAGTCTAATCTGTATTTATGTCTTAATTAATATACCTATATTTGAGTATGCAAATAGGTATTAAGTAGTTTTATAATTAAGTAAGAGGTAGTTTTTCAAGGGATTGTTGCCCATTTGTATTTCCTTGCATGGGCTGGCACCGACTCCAAAAATAAGTAATAAATTTTGAATATTTGCAAAAGATTAATGTAAAATAAGTTTACCTATAAATTAAGTTTTTTTACAGTAATTCAAATTGTTATTTTTTACTTTTTAGTGTAGGAACTTTTATTGCTTGACTTTTTTTGAAGGCGGTTTTTTTATTTTGTAAAATTTTTTTTTATTTGTAGCCGTTTAGTGTTTTTTTTTTTTATTATAATGTGTTATGGCAAAGAAGTCAATATCGTTCCTACATTTCTTTTGAAAAAGTTACCAATGTCATACTTATACGTAGAAATACATATCATAGTACATTGTTACTGTGTAATCGTTTTGATCTCGAGGAGAGATGATATGATGCATGAGATACTTATGACTTATAGTTAAAATAAAATAATAATCTTATCATAAATTCATATTAGTTCTCGCCAAATAACAAAAAACTAGATATTTTCATCAACAGACAGATAAAGTTCAAAGATACCAAATACAATCTAATTTAGTATCTATGATTAAATACATTCGTACATAGAAAAAAGACCGATGCAATTATTGTTTTGTATCAATTGTAACCCATTAAATGAAGAATACTATTTTGTTATTACTAAGAACATTCATATATAGACAAGTTGGTAAAAATATAAAAGACCATCGCTATTGTAAATATACATTTATGACTCATTCAATGTATGAACCTTTTTTAAGTAAGTATTATCTACATATGTGCACACAAAAGAAACACAATTATTGTTTTGTACGACGCAATTATTGTTTTGTAACCCATTTAAAACGACTGTTTTGTTAAAAATGCCAATTAATTCTCTTAGCCTATTACCAGGAAAACGATAAGAACACAATGACGCATTTCACCACTAATGTGTAAACGCAGTCCACGTGGACTAATGCAAAATAGCCAATACTAGGCCAAACTCCGCCCCCAAAGGTGTGCGGTCCCGCTCTAGAACCTTTCGGCCCCATCGGCC